AGATTATTCATAAATGAATAAATATATGTCAATTTTTTTAAAGATCTTGGAATGATTGTGACCCAGTGAAGGCCCCCAAACGCTGCTATGCTAAAAGCTCTCAGGATTAATGAAATTGAGCCTTCCCTGGAGGTAAGAGTAACCTTTCCCAGGGAGGAGAGGCAAGGCTGGATCTGAAATGTCCCCAAAGGCCACACACTAAAGGCCTGGTTCCCAGCTGGTGAAAGTATAGGACGTGATGGAGACTTCAGAGGCTGTGGTCACTGGTACCCTACCTTGAAGGGTGTAGTTAGCACCTTTTTTCTCTTTTCTCTCCTTCGTCCTCCTTTTCTTTCCTCTCTCTCCCCCTTCTCTCTTCCTTCTCTTCTCTTCCTATCCCCTTCCTACCCTTCTCTCCCTCTCCATCTCCTTCCACTGGGGACGGCAGCGCTGCTCCAGGCATGCGCCCTGACGCACTGTACACTGGACCAAGTGACAGCGGGCTGAGACCAGGAGCGAGACAATCCTTTGCGCTGGCCTTCTCGGGCATTGTGTCACGGGCTACAAAGCTGACTAACACGGGCTGCATCCCAGAGCAGTAAGTCCTGTCCCATCAATGGTCCTCAGTAAGTCCTGTCCCATCAATGGTCCTCAGTTTTGTCCCCAAACTACAGGCTTCTAGCTCCCCTCTGCTTTCTGCCTGTCTCCAAAGCTGGATCCCAACACCTCCTCTGGACGGAACAGCAGGGTTTTGACTTCAGGGAAACAAGTTCAAGGCAGAACAGCTTTGCCTGGGACTAGCGGTTTTGTATTTTCTTTTTAAAGAACTTGTCTTAAGACTCTGTGTCCCATTGGTACTGTCTCTCCCTAATCTGCCTCAGAGTGGTGATGACAGATACGGAGCATTATTTCAAAAACGTCTTTCAGGACTGCACTTTGGGAAAATGTACGCTCCTCACCCCAGCTGTGCCCTACATGACTTCTCTGAGTTCTTTCTGCTGTTGATGGGTTTTATTATCTACAATGTCCTTGTATAAACTCACTGCCAATCCCCTCTCCTCTAGGCCTGACCTCCACCTACATGCTGTCTGCCACCCTCCTCTGTGGGGCTCCTCAGTCCTGTGCTCAGCCACCTCGGCTAATGACTCACACCTCCTGACAACTGGAAGACTCCTGATTCTTTTGGTTGACCAATTTGGTGACATATATTGATCCCCTCCCCCAACCCAGAAAATACACACATGAACATACACATAAAGTGTAGCACCAACTTTCAGGAGACTGGTGGAATGAAGCCCACCAGAGACTCCTACAGAGAGACAGAAGCCCAGGAGAGCTGACCTAAGTCTGCCACAGTCCCAGAATGAGCTTTCTATGGAGACATAGAGAATGCATTGGTTTTTTGTTTTTGTAAAGTCAAGATGGAAAAACAAATAAGAGTCTTCTAAAGTTAGTGCTATAAGAAGAAAAAAACTGCAAAATGCATTAACCAGGAGTCACCTGGGTGGAACTAAAAGTTAGACCCATATTGTTTTCAAAGAACGTTAAGGGTAGCTTTTGGACTTCCTCGTTGGGTTTTAGTTACATACCCAGGATGAAAATATATCTTCTTCAAACAGAGGTTTGGAGTGAATGTTTTCATCTTTTCCAATGTATCGAATGGTTTGTTTGTTGTCTGTAGATGTTGAAGGTTCCTAGAGCCCAGAAAAAACAAGGACTTGTTAGCCCGCTGACATGTGCCACACCACAGGGCAAGTCACCCAGAGCCCGGTCTACAGCCTTGGCTTTCCACTGGTCTCCATTCAGCAGACGATGTTGGAAGGCCTGCTCTGACCACGGCAAGGTGGGGACGAGGGTGTGGGGACAGGAGGAGCTGGTTATGATCAAAACAAAGAGGTTTGTGCCAGCCCTCAAGAATGGTCATGGCTAGTCTTGGTGGTCAACCATCTGGAATCAACTAATACCCAAACAGCTGGGGACATCTGTGATGGGTTTTTCTTGATTAAATCATTTGAAGCAGGAAGACCCAGGGTTTTTAATATTATTATTATTAACTTTTTAACATTTATTCTTTGTGTCTTTCACATCATGCATCCCTATCCCATTCATTTCCCTGTCCCTGTGTATCTGCCCTCTGCCCTTGAACCCCCACCCCCGAAAGAGAATTAAATTTAAGAGGAAAAAAGAAAAAAGGAAAAATTTCATCATGGAAGCTGTACTGTGACACAGTGAGTCACACAGTGTACCCTTTTATCCATGTATCTTTACTTGAAAGTGTTCATTGCAAAGAGTCCTTTGTCTGGTTTAAGGCCTCTGGTTTCCACTACACTATCAATGCTGGGCCCTCACTGGGACTCCTCTTGAGCATCCTATTACTGCTCTCTGTGGAGATCCTGCAGCTTTGGATCCTACAGCTTTAGATCCTGCAGCTTTGGCTCTGTAGCCCCTTTACATGCTCCTGCAGATCGTGGATGTGTGGATGTTTGGAGTGGGCCAGCTCATCACCCTGGATCTGTGCCTGGGTAGTTGCAGGATTGGTCAGCCCACCAGCTCTCCCTTGTCTTCAGCACCAGGGTTCACTCTCCTGCATTGCCCTGGCTGGTTCACCCCTTGCAGTGAGGAGCAATTGGCAGGGCCAGTTCTCCTGCTTTCCTGCCCTCAGGGTCGGCTCTCCCACACCTGCGCCATCAGGGCCAGCTCTGCTGTGCTGCCCAGGCAAGGTGCAGGGGCCACTCTACCGAGTGTTACAGCTGGTGAGGGGTAGAGACAGCTCTTCTGCTCCTATGACCTCGGGGCCATCTGTCTCTCCCACCTGACACAGGAGGCGAGGGTTTTTTTTGGGGGGGGTGCTCTTCCCCACCTACCCCACCATATGGCAGATGAGGGGTGGGGCCAGATCTCCTGCATTCACGTTCTCGGGGTGGTTCACCTGTACCCCTGCCAATAGGGTCAGCTCTGCTGCTCTGCCCAGGGGAGGTGCAGGGCCCGCTTTCCCAAGTGCTGCAGCTGGTGAGGGGGATGGGTGACTTCCCTGTCTGTCAGAAGCAGCGGGGAACAAGGGTTAAGGAGAGACATCTCTCCCCTGCCCATGCTGCACCATGACAGATGAGTAGTGAGGACAGCTCCCCCACACTCACGACTTTGGGGCTGGCTCACCCACACCTCTACCAACAGGGCTGGCTCTACTGTGCGGCCCAGGCCAGGCACGGGGCCTGTTCTCCTGAGTGCTGCAGCTGGTGAGGGGTCGGGTCAGGTCCCCTACCTGCTTCAGCTGGTGAGGGGTCGGGTCAGGTCCCCCACCTGCTGCAGCTGGTGGGGGGGGAGGGCATCTTTCCCTCACCCACTCCACTATATGGCATACCAGAGAGACTAAGACCTGCTCTCCTATTCTCATGCCCTCAGGGCCAGCTCACCCATGCCCCTGCAAACAGGAAGACCCAGTTTTTATTCAGACCTTTTGAGTGGAAAGAGCCACACCTCTAATCTGTCCACATCTTCTTCTGGCAGCCTATGTAAGGATATGGAAGAAGGAAGCTTCTCTCTTTGCTTGCTCTTGCTGGCAAGTCCATTCCTTCACCAGCATTAGAGCCTCCTTCTTCAGTGAATACTGAAGACCAGCTGAGACATGACTGAACAACTACTGGACACCTGGATCTTCCACGGGTAGACAGCCATTGCTGGACTACAGCCTATAAGCCATTCTAGTAAGTACACACACACACACACACACACACACACACACACACACATATATATATATATATAAATATACATATATATGAACATACACATAAAGTGTAGCACCAAACTTCAGGAGGCTGATGGAATGAAGCCCACCACAGACTCCTAAAGTAATGGTGCTCTGCAGAGAGATAGAAACCAATCAAGAGCTGACTTAAGTCTATCATGGTCCCAGAATGAACTTTCTGTGAAGACATAGAAAAGGGAACAAGAAAGATTTTCTATAAAGTCAAGATGGAAAAATAATCCTAACCCCTAACCATATAGAGAGAATGAATATATATTATACATACATATATGTATTCATTTTATAAGTTCTGTCCCTCTAGAAAACCCTGACTGATACAAAAACTCAGCACAGGAGGAAAGGCAGATAAGAAAGTGAACAGTCATGGCATATGATGGCTGTTAGCATAAAGGTGTATTCTAAGGGCTGTATGTACACACAAGGGGGCCCTGCTCACAGAGAAAAATTATATTTGAAGACTGAACAGGTACTAGGAATCGGTAAGGGTTCTTCTGCCACAACTGTCTGGGTTTCAGTACTGATTCTGCCATTTGAGACTATGGTTTTAGGTAAATTTGTCAACCTTTCAGAGCTTTAGTTTCCTTTCTATAAAATGAAGCAATATATACCTAAGTTGTTATCCTGGACAACATGCACAGCATAGAACTCATGATCTACACTCAGTTCCTGGTAGCTGTCGTTGTATTATCACCACTATAAACGTTCAAATGGGTTTTTACCGCTGCAGCTTTTCCAGCAGTAGAGAGAGTCGGAGCAATGAGGAAGTTAGAGACAGGAGGCAGGAAAGGGCGGCAGAGGAGCTGAAGCAGAGGCCAAGGGAAGACT